GCTGATCTGAGGAAAAATCGCCCTTAAAAACTTCACGCTTATAGGTCAGCTAGTCCGGAAAAAAACTTCTTTAAAATTCCACCAAAAATGCGCTAATTTAGGATAAAGACTTTTTAAAAAAACCCCAAGCTCGCCAACATAGAAAAATATATTTTTTATAACCAGTGCAAGAAGCAGGCTGTCATATGGCCAATTACCACTGGGCTCTTATTCTGTACGGACCTATATTCCGAGCCTGGGTAATCTTGTGAGATATTTGCACTCTCTTGACCAATTAAATGTCAACAGCTCTTTCGTAGCATATTTCCTGAATTTCCTTATATTACACAAAACAGTTTTGGTTCATTTGACCCGCTAAGTATTGACCGTTTATTATCATCACATCCATTCGAATTGGTATAATAATATAATATATAATTGTGGCGTTTATACTGGCGACTGGTAAACCAGAGAAAAATAAAGTATTGGGTCCGTTTCTTCCATAAAATATCATCTGATCATCATCGAAAATTTCAAAGGAATCCGCGCGACATTTCTGCCCTCTAGTATTGTAATATTCCGGGTTCTGGTATATCATTCAAAATTGACCCTTCAGGTGTTGTTTAGGAGGATCGGTTGCCACATGTTTTGAAAATAATCCGGTGAACAGAAGCACTGCGAACTTCCATGAAAAAAATCATACGCCTTCGAACAACCGGTCTCACACGCATAGACCCATATCTCGTCAACTGGGACGATTTTATAAGTCATTTGAAGCACTAATATCGTACTTTTTTTTAATTTCTTAGCACTAATCGACATAAGCATTTTTTGAGCCATGATCAACTTTAATAAACCTTTTCTTTCAACACCTTACATGGCGATCCTGAATTATTAGTTCGGGCACGGGGTCAGTGTTCTAATGCACATAGATCGTTTTTGGACAACTTTTCCTCAGTAGTAAAATATTGTACTGCAGTTACGGGATGTCTTGGTTGTACTATTACCTTTTCCAACAAAAGGGTTACCTTCCTAGCACTTTAATTTCTTTAAGTTCTACACAAGTTCCCTTAGGACATTTTAAAGCACTTCGTCAATTAACTCAAGGTCAAACATATGAATTGTTGTTCATTTTATTCCGACCATCCATCCATCCATTCAACAACAACATAAACAAAACAATATGACAATTGTTAATTTCATTTGTGAAAAACTTAAAATGAAACCAAAAATAAATCCTTTTGTTCTTAAAGTTACTGTTTTGTTCTTGCTTAGCCAACGATTGGCCTTGCTTTCTGCCAAGAATTATCAACATGCTAGGCACGTCCTCTTATTGTAGGAAATACTTACAAACATACAAGTGTGTGTAAGTGCAAATTATTGGTTGTGCCAGTGGCCGGGAATGAGTGAATCAGTGTGATTCATCGGTTTTGACCTTCTCTCCATATTGCATGGATGTGTATTTGTGTGAGTATTACAAGGAAATGACTAACTCTCATAACTCGTTCTCGTCTACTCTGTTCATTAGTTGTGGCCAAGTTTGCGATGTATTTTAATTTCACTTCAGAGAAAAACTTACAAAAAAATAAATAATAATTACATTGTGCCAGAAATGTGACTATGTGTTTGTGTAGCTGTGTCAATTTTAATCAATTTTCTAAGAAGCAAGCTTGGTATGTATGGATGTATATGCTTTTGATGATAATGTGTAAATAATCAATATATGTGTATGTGTGGCTATTGGAAACAGAAGGACTTTTTTAATTGAAAAATAATATAAGTTTTTGTTTTTTTTATTTTTCTTCTTATAAGAATATATCTAAAAGTCATGAAAGCTTATCGTTGACCCAAATTATTACAAAATATTATTTTAAAATATTCTTAAGCCAATAACATATGTGTGTCTAAACTCAGCATATATTCATTAAAAAACTTTATATTCAGCTGAAATAAATATTTCAGGTTTACGGTCATCCATCGTAAAAATATTACTATATCATTCAGGTAAAATTTATATCATTTCATTCATTTTTTCATTCTTCTGGAAACGGTATGGTGTTCTAAAATAGACCAGTAAGGAAAGTAGTAAGGTCGGACTGGGCTGACTATGCTAAATTTCATTTCATTTTGGGCAATTTACGAGTCGTTTGCATACAATGGGACAAATTTATTTAAATCGATTTAGAGCAAACAAACACGCTATTCGGTAGGTAGAACTGTTCAAAATCATACATCCGTTTTGAAATATATATGAATGCTGTGTCTACATCTGTACCAATTTCAACAAAATACTATACCGTCGTTCTGGTCTCAATTCGATACGTTTTGCAAAATTTCGTGTCGCTCGGTGCGCCATTTATCTAAAATCCAACGAAAATATATATGGGTGCTATATCTAAACCTTAACCGACTTCAACAAAACTTGCCAGAGTTTAATTTATATTACCTTCAGTACATTGTATAAAATTGTGTGCCGATCGGACCAACTTTGGGTCTGTAGTTCACAATTTACCTAAAATCGGAAGAAAAGACATATGGGAGCTATATTTAAATTTGAACCGACTTTCACGAATCTTTACACACATCAATTGAAACTCAGTTCAGTACGCTATACCAAATTTCGTGCAAATCGAAAGATATATAGGGACATTGGTACACAATTTACCTTAAATCGGACGAGAATATTGTGGGTGCTATATCTAAATTTGAACCCATTTTCATGAAACTTTACACACATCAATCAAGACTCAATTCAGTACGATATGCCAAATTTCGTGCAAATCGAAAGATATATAGGGACTTTGGTAAACCATTTACATTAAATCGAACGAAAATATATATGGGAGCTATATCTAAATCTGAACCGATTTTCATGAAAATTTACACACATCATTCAAGATTCAATACGCTATGCCAAATTTCGTGCAAATCGAAAGATATATAGAAACTTTGGTAAACCATTTACATAAAATCGGACGAAAAAATATATTGGAGCTGTATCTAAATCTAAACCGATTTTCAGGAAACATAATGCCCATCATTCTAGACCTAATTCATTAAGCTATGTCAAATTTCGTGCAAATCGAAGGATATATAGGAACGTTGGTACACCATTTACATTAAATCGGAAGAAAATATATATGGGAGCTATATCTAAATCTGGACCGATTTTAAGGAACCTAACACACGTCATATTAGATCTATTTCATTACGAAATGCCAAATTTTGTGCAAATCGAAAGATATATAGAGACTTTGGTACACCATTTACATTAAATCGGACGAAAATATAAATATATCTAAATCTGGACCAATTTTCAGGAAACTTAACACACATCATTTCGTAGGAGAGGTGCCAATGTCCTACTAGGCGCGTCTTCCCGGGTGGCGGATGTGAAGGGGGTCTCCACGATGTGTAGAGTGAAACTGACCTAGGTCTCCTAGATCAACTTTTCTCTGCACTTCGTGGAAACCTTGGGGATCTTCGGATCCCCGTCGACCAAAATGTATCGGGGTAGTGCCCTTAAATAAATCAACTACGATGGGTAAAAAAAGTAAAAAGAATAAAGTTACGGTGCAGGGAGTTAATAACCCAGTACCGGCGGCAATCGTTGAGGTCACAAGCCACGTGTCGTCGAGATCACCTGTATCTATTACAAGTGCATCAATTCAAAACCAAAACGTTGACGAACCGGCTATTCCTTTGGCAAATGATCATGTCAAGACTGATGAAGATCTGTATCTGGCTGACAGGACTGTAGTTCTGGGAGGGGACGACCTACACGGGACTCTATGCGCTATCCGCAATAGTCTAGAGGAGCAAAGTAAGGAACTCTTCGACCAGTTAGACAGACCTGTACCAGAAGAGCAATGTGGGGATACGCTTCCAGAGGAATCCGGAATCGCACCCTAACTGATGATGAGCTGGACACCATTGTATATAGGGACTTTACATTAAATCGGACGAAAATATATATGGGAGCTATATATAAATCTGAACCGATTTTTCCCAATTTCAATAGGGTTCGTCCTTGGGCCTAATATCTGGGGACTATGGACCTACATCGGAATGAAAAATTACAGCTAATTTAAAAGTGATTCTTCACAGACCCCCAAAAGAGACCTTGTGTCTACCATGTGGGGTATAAATATCGTTAAAAAATATTTCGAATACCGAAAATATTAAATTACAGGTTGATTGGTAAGAAATATGGCCAAAACCCTTAAATTACAAAATTAAAAGTGGGACATTTATTGGAGACTATGACCAAACATGAATTTGTCTTCATAATTGTATGTCCATCACCAAAAAACCGATATTCCAAATTACAACCATTTTTATTGAAAACCTTCAAAATACCGAAAATTGGACGAGACCATTATATAAGGACTATGTCGAAGCATGGGCGTAAATTGATTTTTTTTTTTCAAAAATGTAGGTCAGCCTTCCGAAAGAAGTCCAGTGAAAGAAGACTCCATTCACCATGTTTATGAAGATCTCCCAGAGTCTACAGAAGACTCCTTTCAATAGTTTCGATTTCTGCTTGACTGTTCGTAAAAATGGATTAACAAAACTATAAAAATTCAATAAAATGCGCGACGACATTGCAAGGTTGACAGTAGCGTTTGGCGAGCCTAATTTGAGCCGAACACAACTTCAATTGTGGTATAAGCGGTTTAAGGAAGACCGAGAACATATCAATGCCGATGCTCATCCTAGTCGCCCTAACACGCCCTATATAAATGCAGATTCGAACACTCATATACATATACGCAACTTCGTAGTCTTCAAAAGTATGAATGTGTATAAGTCTCTGAAATCGAATTGACTTCTTCAATTTCATTTCCACTTTCACTTTCGTTTTATTTATTCGTTTTCGTTCGTTTTTTGGAAATTGAAGTTCCCATCTCCTCCCAAAAAAATTCTCTCTTCTCAACATGAACAGTCAATAATATTCTAATAAATTCACTTTTGCTGTAATAACAATGTCATGCATACATACATCTTCCATCGGTACTTACCTTCAGTCGTAGATAACGTTCATGTTTACCCATTGCACCTTGACGTGTCTGCAGGACATAGATGGTATTAATGTGGGCCAATACATTTTCAAATGTCAGCTGTAAATGTGGACGTATAGCTTCAAGTACTTCCAATATTAAACAGTTTTCTTCGGCCACTCTGTACAACAACAAAAAACGGAAGAAAACGGATTGAGATGAGTAAAGAAATGAGAAAAGGAAGGATGAAAACGTGAACATATACAATAACAAAGACATCACTATTGAATAACTTAAGAAAAAACAAAGGTATGGATGGCATATCGATGCACTTGTAAATGACAATTTCAGTGGCAGGTATACAAAGGTACGCATACATGCTGAGGAAGGTCTATATGCAGTGCCAAGGAAATAAAAGAGAAGGGCGGTATAACCACGTTTGAGAATATTTCAGATGTGTGTTTTTATCTTCTTCTTCTCAAAAAAATTAAAAGACAAATGAAAAATGAAACGAACAATGATGACAGCATCTGTGATGTTTAAATAAAAAATGGAAAAATATAAATTTTCCATTTTTACGTGGCATATCTGCATCTCTCCTCAATGTCCTTAATGGCGAACAAAATTGAAATGTTCTTTTTTTTCGTTTTCTTGGAATGGAAATGTACACTTACCTTGGTATGACTCTTGACACGGATTTACCAGCCTGGACAATTTTCATTTGTCGATCGAATATCAGATGAAATGGAAAGACTTTGCAAAATGTTGCGGGCGATATAAGAGGAGCTACAGAAAGAAAAAACGAAATAAAAAAGGACGAGGAACAAAAAAAACAATATCATTTAATATTCTGTAAATTGTCGGAACGCCTCATTCTGTATTACCATCACACAAGAAATCTGTGTCATCTGGTGGCTCTTTGCCGGCCTCATCCTTTGAACTGGATGCCTCATTATCCGATTTATTATTGGCCGATGTTTCACGTATTAGAAATTGGACATGGTCATAACGTTCAATGTCATCACTTTTATTCTTCAGCAGTCGCAGACATTTCTGTTCTTTGTCATCGCTGTCGAAGCTATCGGCATTTGTGCCTGCCATTGATGAGGCCGAATTCGATTTGTTTCTTGTAAAGGGACATTGTTGTTCTGCAACGGGGAAAAAAGAAGAAAATCAGAAAAAAACATCAGAATGAAAATAAATTGTATTGAGGGGAATGAGCAGAATGTGTAATGGAAATTTTCCTATTTGCACAGAATGTCTATGTCATTGAATGAAATTCTATTCAAAGGCAACTTATATTGTAGTCCTATTATTTTTCGCTTTGTTGCCAGTAGATATTCCGGCTCTCAATAGCATTTGATTGAAAGAGCCTATTTGCAGAATATTAAAACGGATAAACGAATTATTTGTGTGCGCTAGAGACTACGTGGGATGGGTTTAGAAGGACAGAAGATAGATTTTTTTAAAGAATATTTTTTTAAGGATTATGTAACGCATGTATTTATTAAAGAATGTGTTGCAAGGACTATACAATACGAAGATTTTTAAACAATATATTCAAGGACATTATAAGGCATGGATTTTTTTTAAAGAAAATCGTTTCAAGAGCCAACTGAGGGGTGGATTTAAAAAAAAGTAATAATACCTAAGGACCAACAGAAGCGTAGATTTTTTAAAAAATAATTCTTAAGGACCAACAGAGGCGTGGATATATTTAAATATTAATTTTCCAAGGACCAAAAAAGGTTTGGAATTTTCAAAGATTAATTTTCCAAAAACCAAAAAAGGCTTGGATTTTTTAAAGAACATTTTTTAAGGACCAACACAAGGCGTGTATTTTTATAGCCTTCACCACACTGTGGTACAGGGTATTATGTCTTTGTGCATATGTTTGTAACAGGTTAATGGAAACGAGATAGACACATGGTTCCTTGTGAGAATATGCAGAGAATCACTTCCTGAGTCGACTTGTGCAGGTCCGTCCGTGCGTCTGTCTATCTTCCCGTCTGTAGATGTTAAATTGTAAACCAGTGAGCGGAGCAGTATATATATATTTTCATCCGATTTAAAGTAAATGGTGCACCAAAGTCCCTATATATCAGTCGATTTGCACGAAATTTGGCATAGCGCTCCTGATTTAGATATGGCTCACATATATAATTTCGTGCGAGTTAATAGAAATGGTTCACCAATGTCCCTATATATCATTCGATTTGAAAAAATTTGAATTCAGTCTAGAATGATATGTGCTAAGTTTCGTGAAAATCGGTTCAGATTTAGATGTAGTTCCCATATATATTTTCGTCCGATTTTATGTAAATGGTGCACCGAAGTCCATATATATCTTTCGATTTGCACGAAATTTGACATAGCGTAGGATGTGCGATAAGCTTCGTGAAAATCGTTCCAGATTTATATATAGCTCTCATATGTATTTCGTCCGTGAAATTCGGTGCAATGAAATGAAATTTAGCATATGTTCCAGAAAGGCATAATGATCACTTATTCAAGTTCGTTCAATTTCATGTCAATGTTCGAAAAGGCGGAATCTGTTAGGAGACATATATGGAATATACCCAAAGTGGCAAGGGTATTATATAGTCGGTCCCACTTTACTACTTTCCTTACTGGTTTAAAAAATAATTTTAAGGAACAGCAGAAGCATGCACTTTTTAAAAAATATGTTTTCAAGGACCAACTGATACGCGGATTTTTTTTTAAAACATATTTGTAAGAACTACATGAGGCCTGGATTTTTGAAAAAGAATTTTCAACGACAATACAAGGCGTGCATTTTTTAAGGAATATTTTTTAAAGGACCAACAAAAGGCGTCAATTTTTAAGGAATATTTCTTCAGGACCAACACAAGTCTTTGATTTCTAAAAGAATATTTTTTCAAAGACTATATAAGGCGTGGATTTCTTAAGGAATATTTTTTCAAAGACTATATAAGGCGTGGATTTCTTAAGGAATATTTTTTCAAAGACTATATAAGGCGTGGATTTCTTAAGGAATATTTTTCAAAGGGCATATAGGAGGCGTGGATTTCTTAAGGAATATTTTTTCAAAGACTATATAAGGCGTGGATTTCTTAGGGAATATTTTTTTCAAAGACTATATAAGACGTGGATTTCTTAAGGAATATTTTTTCAAGGACCAACATAACCTTGGAATATTTACATTACATTTTTAGAAAGACCACCTGGCAAGGATATATTTTAACTATCGGTACCATTGAATCATACATTTACATTTATCTGACCTTTTAAGCGACCCTGAATTTACAAATTGATTGCACTTAACACAACCGCCGCTATCCTTTCGAAATTCTATCTCTCTACCTGTCATTTAAGCATTTAATTGAAGTGGAAATTATACGATTGAAATACTTACCGCCTGGCCTTCTGTTATTTATAAAATTATCTGTTGATCCATCGTTGTTGTTATTCAGATTGTTGTTGTTGCGATTATTATTTTCCTCATTTGTGAAGGATGAAACGGAAGCATTTGATTGTTGGTGTTGTTGTTGCTGCTGCTGTTGTAATTGCTGTGAAAAAACATCATCCTTGTCATCTTCTTCCACTGGATCACCTTTTCGTTTTACAATGTCGATTTCCACATCAACGCCATGTAGCTTTGAGGCCACAGCCTACACAATGGTATTTGTAGAGAGGAAAAAAGAATGAAATAGCAACAATAATAGTAGAAAAGGAAAAAAACGGAAATGGAAAATAAAAAAATGATATTATTGATTTTTAGTTTGACAAAATATCAACAGGAAAGGAAAAGTTTTTTTAGTGCTGTGGAAATAGATCACAAAAACCGGTTGAGTTCCCTATAATATGATTAATATGTAATAATCCGTATTTAGACATTATACGGGCGTGGATTTGCCAAAGAACCAATTTTCAAAGAAGCTTGGATTTTTAAATAAAACATTTTTTAGAACCTGAAGAAGAGGTAGTATTTATGTAAGGTCTATATAAGGCCTGGACTTTAAAGAATATTTTTTCAATTACCAAAGGAAGCGTGGATTTTTAAGGAGTATTTTTTCAAGGACCAAAAGAAGCGTTGATTTTTAGAGAATATTTTTTTCACGGACCCAATGAAGCGTGGTTTTGTTAAGAATATTTTTTCAAGGCCCTAAAGAAGAGGGAGTATTTATTTATTTAATCATTTTTAAGGACTATATGATGTGTGGATTTTTTGAAGAATATTTTTTCAGGGACTATATAAAGCACACATTTATTAAAGAATATTTTTCAAGGACAACAAGAGGCCTGGATTTATTAAAGAATATTTTTCAAGGGCCAACTGAGGCCTGGATTTACTAAAGAATATTTTTCAAGGGCCAACTGAGGCGTGGATTTATTAAAGAATATTTTTCAAGGGCCAACTGAGGCTTGGATTTATTAAAGAATATTTTTCAAGGTCCAACTGAGGCGTGGATTTATTAAAGAATATTTTTCAAGGGCCAACTGAGGCGTGGATTTATTAAAGAATATTTTTCATCTATTAAGACTCCCTTCAGTTCGTCCTGACAGTGTACATATATTTTGTTTTTATTTTTCCCATATTGTGTTTTGTTGTTCTTCGAGAAATATCAATTATTCGTACCGGTTTTTGTGACCACCCTAATATTTAGTATCGCATTTCTTCTACTTACCTTAACAATGCCAATGACAATGTGTTCTAAACCCGGTCGCTCTGAATAATAATGCAGCAATAATTGACCATCTTTTTCTGTGCAACGAAAGGAAGGAGCTCTCATACCCGGATATAATGTACCCAAATGGTCATGCAGGGCATCCAGATTCTGATACAATAGATTCATTTTTGTTTCATATAGTTTTTGTTTGCCATTGTCGTCGTGTTGTTGTTTTTATTTTATAGACAATCATTGAAAATGACAGCGAACCGAATAACGTGGCATTCAATGTTGGTTGGTTGTTTGTTTTTTGTTGTCCAGTTAAAGGTATTGAATCAGCGATGAAGATGAAACGTAACGAAAACAATGTGGACACTCGAAAATAAAATGGCAACGGTGTTCAGGCCAACAGCATCGGTATTGTCCAAAACAATTCGTCGTCATAATGCCAATGCAGGCAAAAGGGAATATCAGAAATTCAATTCAAGTTTTGTGTTTTTTTTTTCCATCCATTATGTGATGACAAACGAGCACCAGGACATGGACAAATAAATGGTGAAATTGTTGAGCAAGTTGTCCGGCAAAATACAGCCATACAACAGCAGTTTTGTCGAGTAGTTTGTTGTTGGAAATAAAATAAGCAGAAGCCGCAACATAGAAGCCATATCCGATATAAGAATGGTGGTGAAGGCGACCACGTCAATGGGGTACAGTGTCCAAACAGAACGAAACCATGGTGTTGTTATTAAGTTAAAATATATACAATTGTTCCCAATACAGCATCCATGTTCAGCAAATAACGAGAAGAAAAAAGGAAAGAAAAAGAAAACAAGAATCAAAAAGATGTAATGAAAATTATTTGAAATTGAAACTAAGTCGAATATGAATGTGGCAGGGTTGTTGCGATGTTGCTTGATTTTTAATGGTGTGTGCGAATGGTGGAAGTTGTGGATGACAACAGAATTTGTATAAAAACCAGTAGATAATGTTCCAAAGTCGATCAGGGCCGACTATATGATATAATATATATATATATATATATATATAAGAGATGCTCCTAAAATTCTTAATGTAATTTACAGTAACATGTACCGATTTAATATATATCCTCCGCCTATTATTCACAGACATATTCATACCCTTTACCACACTGTGGTACAGGGTATTATGTCATTGTGCATATGTTTGTAACAGGCAAAAGGAATCGAGATAGACACATGGTTCCTTTTGAGAATATGCATCGAATGACTTTGACTGAGTCGTTTTACGCATGTCCGTTCATCTACCCTTTCGGTTCCACGGTTCACTTATTTGGCCCAAGGACGAACCCTATTGAAATTAGAGAAAATCGGCTATAGTTTGGCCCCATTTTATGTAAATGATGCACCAAACTCCCAATATTTGTTCGATTGGGACAAACTTTTGCACAGAGTACTGAATTAGGTCCGGACTGATGTCTGTGAAGTTTTGTTAAAATCGGTCCAAATTTAGATATAGCTCCCCATATATAGTTTAGCCCGATTTTTTGTGAATGATACACCAAACTCCTTGTATTTGTCCGTTTGACCAAAATTTTGCATAGCGAATGCAATTCAGGAAAAAATGATGTGTGATAGAGTTTGTTGAAATCGGTTCAGATTTCGATATAGATCTTATATATATTTTCGTTCGATTTTATGTAAATGATGCACCTATGTTTGTTAGATTTACACGACATTTGGGAGAGGGTATTACATTGAATATACAGTGATAACAAAAAACAAATGATGTATGCAACGGGTGCTCAATTAGGTCCATGTGTTTATATGAAGCTCCCATACATAATTTGACTCGATTTCATACAAATGGTACACCAAAGAATCCAAGGCTGCCCGTTTGACATTCAATTTTTCATTGATTTCAGAATGATATGTGTATGGGGGGTTTTCAATTGGTTCAAATATCCATCTAGATAACACCTTTAATTTCGCCCGATTCCATCTCAATGGTCCTCCAAAGATTCTATGTATGTTCTTTCTACAGGATATTGGAGATTTTAAAATTTTTTGTATTTATCCAAAGCAGTGAAAGGAATAATATAGCCGGCTCGTCCGACTTTTGAACTTTCCTTACTGGTTTTTTATTCGCTTTGTAAAATGTACTGGGCCTACTATATAATACTCTTCACCACTTTGGGTATATTCTACATATGCATCCTAACAGATGTTGCTTTTTCGAAGGAACATTGAACATTGAATTGCATTGAACAAACTTAAATATGTGATCTTTATCTAAAGTGGACCGACTAAAATCAATCCATACACATGCCTTTCTGCAACCTTACTAACTTTCTTTCGGGCAGATTTAGAGTTGTTTGGGTACAGTGTCACATATTTATGTAAATTGATTTAAAGCAAACCTGATACACGATATTCAGTATACCGAACTGTTCAAAATTTAATCAAATCAGACACCCGTTCGAAATACATTACGAAATAGTTCGAAATTTCTGATCGAACTATTCGTAGACGTCTAAATGATGCCTCCCTTCCAGCACGCCGGCCAGCAAAAAAAACCTCTTATTTCCATACGTAATCAAAAAAAGCGTTTGCAGTTCGCAAAGGAACATTTACATTGAACAGAAATGAAATGGAGAACTGTATTGTTTAGCGACGAATCCAAATTTAACATCTTTGGTAACGATGGTATGCGTTATGTATAGACCTCGGATTTTTGCATATTTTTTATGCTTTATCCGATTGGACTCAAATTTTGTATTTAGGCGTTTCATGCTTTAATTGATCGATATTTGGGGTCATGTCAAAAATATGCAAAAAATATGCAAAAAATATGCAAAATATATGCAAAATATATGCAAAAAATATGCAAAATATGCAAAAAATATGCAAAATATGCAAAAAATATGCAAAATATGCAAAAAATATGCAAAATATGCAAAAAATATGCAAAATATGCAAAAAATATGCAAAATATGCAAAAATATGCAAAATATGCAAAAAATATGCACGGTATGCTAGGTCGATATGCGATAAATATATGCAAAAAATATACAAAATATGCATTGTCGATATGCAAAATATGCAAAAATATGCAAAATATGCAAAATATGCAAAAATATGCAAAATATGCAAAAATATGCAAAATATGCAAAAATATGCAAAATATACAAAAATATGCAAAATATGCAAAATATGCAAAAATATGCAAAATATGCAAAAATATGCAAAATATGCAAAATATGCAAACATATGCAAAATATGCAAAATATGCAAAAATATGCAAAATATGCAAAAATATGCAAAATATATGCAAAATATGCAAACATATGCAAAATATGCAAACATATGCAAACATATGCAAAATATGCAAAATATGCAAAAATATGCAAAATATGCAAAATATATGCAAAATATGCAAAATATGCAAACATATGCAAAATATATGCAAAATATATGCAAAATATGCAAACATATGCAAAAATATGCAAAATATGCAAAATATGCAAAATATGCAAAAATATGCAAAATATGCAAAAATATGCAAAAATATGCAAAATTATGCAAAATATGCAAAATATATGCAAAATATGCAAACATATGCAAAATATATGCAAAATATGCAAACATATGCAAAATATATGCAAAATATGCAAAATATGCAAAAATATGCAAACATATGCAAAATATGCAAAATATGCAAAAAATATGCACGGTATGCTATATGCAAAATATATGCAAAAAATATACAAAATATGCATTGTCGATATGCAAAATATGCAAAAATATGCAAAAATATGCAAAATATATGCAAAAAATATGCAAAATATGCAAAAAATATGCAAAATATATGCAAAAAATATGCAAAATATGCAAAAATATGCAAAATATGCAAAAATATGCAAAATATGCAAAATATGCAAAATATATGCAAACATATGCAAAATATGCAAACATATGCAAACATATGCAAAATATGCAAAAATATGAAAAATATAGGCAAAAATATGCAAAATATATGCAAAATATGCAAAAATATGCAAACATATGCAAAATATGCAAAAATATGCAAAAATATGCAAAAATATGCAAAAATATGCAAAAAATATGCAAAATATGCAAAAAATATGCAAAATATATGCAAAAAATATACAAAATATGCATTGTCGATATGCAAAATATGCAAACATATGCAAAATATGCAAAAATATGCAAACATATGCAAAATATGCAGAAATATGCAAAATATATGCAAAATATGCAAACATATGCAAAAATATGCAAAATATATGCACGGTATGCTAGGTCGCAATATTAAAGATAGAACTTTGAAATTTTGCACATATATTATTATTACTCCTAGGATGTTTGGTATTGGAAATGGGATATATCGGTCCACGTTTTAGTATATCGCCATATAACGGTTATATATGTTTGCATGTTTTATACATATATTTAGCAAATTTTTCATAATGCCCCAAAAATCTAACAGTTGAACCATGAAACGCATACATACACAATTAGATTTCTATAGGTTAAAAATAAAGAAAGCACACAAATTCGAAAACTACCCTGAATTTTTTTTTTTTTTTTTTGATTAAAATGATTGCATATGTGATTGCTCATATTTGCACATATTTTGCATATTTTTGCCTATATTTTTCATATTTTTGCATATTTTGCATATGTTTGCATATGTTTGCATATATTTTGCATATGTTTGCATATGTTTGCATATTTTGCATATATTTTGCATATATTTTGCATATTTTTGCATATTTTTGCATATTTTGCATATGTTTGCATATTTTGCATATATTTTGCATATTTTTGCATATTTTGCATATTTTTGCATATTTTGCATATTTTGCATATTTTGCATATTTTGCATATTTTGCATATTTTGCATATGTTTGCATATGTTTGCATATGTTTTTTATATATTTGGATATATTTTGCATATTTTGCATATTTTTGCATATTTTGCATATTTTGCATATGTTTGCATATTTTGCATATTTTTTGCATATTTTGCATATTTTAGCATATATTTTGCATATTTTATGCATATTTATTGCATATCGACCTAGCATATTTTGCATATATTTTGCATATTTTGCATATTTTTTGCATATGTTGCATATATTTTGCATATTTTGCATATTTTTTGCATATTTTGCATATTTTTTG